CTTTGCTCTGTAAATCAAAATCCCCTTCTCAGAAAGACTCAGGCACCTGCCTGACAGATCTGAAGACAATCTAGAAGGCCCTGGCTAAAGTCAGATACAGAAACCAACAGCTCATCTCTTGCCCACATTACAGTTTGAATCCTGGGCGTAGCTATGGACAGGTCTTGCCTACAGGTATGGTGCATTGCACAGAGGAGGAGTTTGGTTCAAGCCCGAAATCCCACCTAACGAGTTACTTCTGTCTGTTGTAGGAGACCAAAATGTCGAGTACAAGAAGATGGTCTGGCATAAGGACTGTTTCACCTGCAGCCAGTGCAAGCAAGTGATTGGATCTGGGAGCTTCTTCCCCAAGGGTGATGAGTTCTACTGTGTCTCCTGCCATGAGCACAAGTTTGCCAAGACCTGCGCTAAGTGCAAGAACGTAAGTCCTTCCACTTTGCAAAGGCAGCTGCCAGAACTGTATCTTGTCTGTCTGTTCAAAGCAAAGAGAATAAACCAGTAGGCAGATCATACTGGAGCTGTACCCGTGCCTATGTTCTTTCCTTGAGATACTGGTGCAACAACGTGAGAGTGCTAATGGTTCTTGCACATTACAGTGCCTGAGCAGGGGTTGCAGGGTTATCTGATAGCAACTCCACTGAAACCAAGCAGTCACTGGCCTGTATTCAAGCAGTAAAGCAATGCTTTATAAGACAGCTGGTTTACGACTTTTGTAACTGATTAGTGTAGAATTCCAGAGTCACTGCAGGTAAAATAAACTATTGTGAAAGCTCCAGGCATGCACGATGTCAGGCTAGAGGAACTCATGTGCTGCACCTTTTTAATGAAAACTCGTTCAGTGTTACGAGATCTCCCCCATGACAGAGCCCTCCTACTCTGCACCCCATGCCTGTGTCACCTCTCTTCTTCCCTCCTGCTTCCAAAACTCATCTCTGCTCTTTGCCTCCTAGCCCATCACTTCTGGAGGCCTCACTTACCAGGAAAAGCCTTGGCATTCAGAGTGTTTCATTTGCTCCAACTGCAAGAAGCAACTAGGTGGAAAGCGCTTCACAGCTGTGGAGGATGAGTTTTATTGCGTTGAATGCTACAAGGAGTGTGTTGCCAAAAAGTGCGCTGGCTGCAAGAATCCTATTACAGGTATGTTACAGGGATTAAATGCAGCTTGAGGGCAGTGGGTGCTTAAGGTCAGAACAGTGATCCCAAAAGCCAGGCAACACCAGCAGCAGGTCTGGTATCCCCAGCCCAATCCCAGCAATTTACACGTGATCTCATGATAAGCCACGCACTCTTGCTGGACGGAGGCTGAGTTAGTAACTGAGCTCTTCACCCTCTGCATGCCTCAAATTTACCTCCTTCAAAACCTCCCCAGCTAGAGCTGTTCCCTGTCTGGGAACCTTAAGGCTCAAAAGAGCAGTGTTTTATTGCCCCAATGTGACAAGTGCTGTGCTTCAGATGTATTTTGCACATCACAGCTACTGGATCACAGAGCTCAGCCCTGAAATGTGGGTGCTAATCTGCCATGGGACCTGTGTTCTGTTCTGCACTTTAGAGCATGGCTCCGAGCCCCTAACAACCAGGCAACCTCTCCTTGCTCTACATCTTCATCTTTCCTTCAGCTTGAGTGTTTCCTGGAGAAAGGATCCACAGGAAAAAGCTTACTGCATCGACAAGCCACACCAGCCTTATGCTAAGCTGCCTGTTTCTCCAAGTGCACTAATACAGAGCAGCAGTGTGGTCCAGTTGCAATTTTGGTTAGTATTTTAGGCATAAAAATATGGTTTGCAAGACTGCAGAAGCACAGCAGGCAGTAAGAGTGGGATCTGCTGTTTGGTAGGCTGACCCAGCCAAGGGAAAAGCTACTATCGCCGTCCTATAATTGTTTTCTCTCCTAGCAGGATTTGGAAGAGGAACCAGTGTGGTTAACTACGAAGATGAGTCCTGGCACGATTATTGTTTCAAATGCACAAAGTGTGCCCGTGGTCTGGCCAACAAGCGCTTTGTTTGCCATAATGGAAAAATTTACTGTGCTGAGTGTCCCAAACGACTGTAAGGAGCAGACAGCAACTGCTGTAAAATGGATTTTAGAGACCTGCTTTCCAAAACAGTCCTGGTAAAAGAGCAGGTTTTTGCATGTTAACAATTTTAACTTTTTCCATTTTAGTATAAAAACTAAAGTAGCCTTAATGTACTGGGTTTGACTTTTGAAGCTCCTGCAGTACAAAAGCATGTAACATTGCAAAAATCTAACGTTGCTTCCAAGTAACTCTTCGTGTAAAGGCTCAAAATGCTGTTAGATTTGGCATTCGAGATCCACACACTACGTTAATCTGCGTGTGGCTTAAACAAAGCTAGTTTTAAACTTGTCTGGTATACATTTAAGCTTGGCACTTAAATGAAGTGGGTTTGACAAGGCATGCACCTCAGAAACAGAGACGCAAAGATTGCGCCTGGGATCAGAAAGATCCATTATTATGCTTTTACAAGTACAGGTACATTACATACATCACCCCATTAATAGCAGCTCAGTAACAAATACCTTAGCTTATCCTACCACACCAAATTGCAGCACATGTATGGAATGGCTTCATCTTACATATAACAATGTTTTGGCAATATGATTTAGCTTTAGTTAAGTTTCCATACTCTTGTTTTAGTCTTGATTTCTGCATGGTTTGTCCAAAAATATTTACTCATCAGCTTTTTTTACATCATCGTTTAAACAAGGCTGTCTACATACAACTATTAATTCATTAACAAGTAAACCTTTCAACTACAACAAAATGCACGTGCATCTAGAAGTGCCTTAAAAGTAGCTCAGACAACGATAGCTCTCCTATCATGTCAGTGTATGTTTTATGATTTAATAAAAATGAGACTAGTGCCTGGTTGGAGCTCTCAGTCTGGAAAACTTTTTTTTTCATTTGCCATCATCTCACACAGTTGACATCTGAAATCAATGCCACTGATACTGGCAAAGTAAAGAGTCAGCTGTTCTGCCATAGCACCCTTAAAGAGCTGAGGCTCAAAGCAACAATTTCCGTAACTAATTAATTCTTTTAATATATAACTGACACTGGACCATCTGCCAAGAACACCCTGTGTGAAAAAGCCCTTTGGAGAACATATGTACAGCCACTGTCCACACACAGGTCTATTACCCTCCAGCAACCTGAATGCTGGTTTAAGGGTTTTTTTCCCAGCAGCAGTTGATACTATACCAAAATATTTATCATCAACTGGGTGTTGCTCTAGTCATTCCCTTTTGTTCACAGGCACCTACCAGAAACAAAGAACCCTTGTAAGAAAACCAAAAGAAAGCATCTTGCTGTATTCTTGATGGCCACTGCTCCACTGTGGCCTTTGAGCGCTGCTGGACCCACAGAACATAAAGGTGCTGGTCCTACAAGTGAAAGGCAAAGGCTTACAGTGAAAAGCAAGTTAAAGAATTTGGTTATGAATGCATCATCAGCATATGCAAACACAGCAAGATCTGGAGGTGTTAGTACAAACACCGTCCCAACCACACCAATGCAACTGCCACAGAGGCCACCAGTTCAGAGAATCGGCAAGGGTGGGGGAGTTAGAGCAGCATCAGAGTGCATCTCAAGACAGGTCAGCGTGGCAAGGGGCTGGAGACTCCTAGTAAGGTAATGTTTAGCATTACAGAAATAAAGCATTGTTCAACTGCAAAGTTTATTTAACAGTGCGCACATATTTACACAGAGCTGTAACAGACCAGTCAACAAATAGTATCAGCACAGAAAAAATACCGGCATCTGTTTCATTAGAATGATTGTCTCTGCCAGAATGAAACAGCTATCATACAAAAATACATTTTTCCTTTTTTACCTAAGGCACTGCTCTAAAGTCTAAACCAGCTCTATTCTGAGTAGCGAACGCCAAGAGTAAGAAGGCCGAGGGTTTCCTATAACTGCGATGTCGAGGAAAGCACGTGTTTAGTTCCAACAACCACTGAAAACACAGCTGCCATTTGGATGATTCATTTGAATTGCAGTTATCAACTAATGGTTAATAGCAGGATTTGAGATCGCTATTCTTTACAGTAATAATCACTTATGCAGTATATCTGTTAGAAGAGACATAAGAAGACTGCATTATTACTTTTAGTAGCAATTTTCAGAAGACGCTTAGTTAATCTCTTTATGCTGTAAAAAGCCAGCAAGTTTAGGTTAAATAGATTACTTAATGCAGGCTTTAGGGGAAGGAAAAAAAACCCAACCATATATGCAGCTTGCAGCCACTGTTATAAGGCTAGAACAGGAGCGCTTACTTAGAATAATTAACATGAACAAAACACGACCTCAGTGGTCTAATACTGTTATGTACACAATAAAATAACAATTCCATGAGTGTAGATAAATAATTCAAAAGGAACACATTTTAAAAAGCATGACATGTTAAACTGCACTATGACAGACATTCTTGTACTCAACATTTTTGTAACATATTAGTGCATACGCTGTAAAATGGTTTCATGTTTACCAATAGATTAAAACGTGTTAGAGATGGTACAATACTGCATTTTGAAACTGCCAATACTTTCATATTAGAAAATGAGGAATTTTTCTTCTCCATTCAAAACTGAAGATGTTCGATTTTGCATTTTTAAATAGCAAAACCAAGTAACAGTGTTTTTCTAGAACATTAACAAGGGAGTTCAGCTTTATCGCACACTGAATGAGTCTTTTATTTCATCATGTGCCATGCTGGGAAAATGCAAAATGTGGCCAGAAGCTAACTGGGGCACCGCCAGTGACATGTTGCTGTACATGCTGATATGAAAAATTAGAAAAAAAGACTGAAACAGGTCACTGTAAGGTTTGTAAAAGGGAAACAAGTTGTATTTGAACAAGGAAATCTTATCTAACAACTAGCTGAACGGATGGAAAACAACACACAGCGCAATAGTTTCCCTGAAATGTTTCAAGGTGCAAATAAGTCTGTCATCCCTCCCCCTGGTGTTTTTTGTGTTTTTTTTCAAACTTGAAGATGGATAAAGGTAAACAAGCAGCTTTTCAAAACAAGGCCTTCGGTACTTGATAAAACACTGGATTACTGAAGTGCAATCAGATTATTTCCAGGTCTCTAGTGTTCACAGTTCTGTCCAAAGAGAAGAAAACATTTAACCATCATAACTGTGTGCATGCGACATACGCCTACCATCACTGTCAGGGTCTACACCCAGGGAGTGAGCACAGAACCACCTGGTTACTTGCAGTCCAAAATAGCGCAGTAGCTTTTCATTTTTTCATATACGAATATTAATTTTCAACATTCTGTACGTATTTTTAAACCATATTACGTCTAAACATTTTCAAGTTCAGAATTAAAAGGCAACACTTTCTTCACTAAAAAGTGAATTACTTTGATCAGAACAAAACGTGATCAGCAGAATCACATTAAATCTGTCTGCTCCCATGGCCCAATTAGTCGTGGCTTCAAAGGAAGTCTCAATAAGGCTATGTCGATGAGACTAAAGTTCACAAGACGCAGAGTGACAGAGGAGACTCAGGAAACAGTTCAGTCTAGAAAAGTACTACACTTTAATTAAAAAAAAGTGCTACACATCACTTGAAGAAAATGTGGATAGCAAGTCCTGTTTTTTTCACTACCATTCATTTCAACTGTTCATGCAGTCATTTCTCTCATGGAAAGAGATCTCCTGCTGTAAGTATGTCCATTTGGAGCTTAGCTCCATCACCAGAGAAGTTTAGTCTCAGGTAAACTAGCTTGCTGAAGCCTCTCTGACACACTATGCTATGCTGCATCAGGCTTCTCAAGTACATGTGGCTTCACACACAGCCTTGCTTCTTTTAGAAAATTCAGAATATTGTGTGTGCAGCTTTATTACTCCTCCCAAAATGTAACATAACCATCTATGGAGTTTAGGGTTGGTGTTACCCCCCCTCAGTGAAGTGAAAGGCTAATCTACAGTAAGTAGAGAAGACAGTTAATACCTTGCCAGATCCTGAAGAGACCTTGTAAGACCATGCAGGTCAGCATCAAAAAGTTACAGAACATGTCTAGGAGTGGAAAGGTCTTGTCTGTAGTTACATCAGACACCTTTTAACCTATTAGTATCTTCAAAAGTAACGTGCCATTTAAGTCATCTTAGAAGAAGCCTAAAATACAACAGATGGGCTTGAATGCTGGTAGGAGATACAGGAGCTTCACAAGGGCTTTGCTGTGTCTTTGGAAGAGCCTTAATGTTGGGCCTTAGCAGCTGTCTAGAGCAACTCCCTAAAAAGGCATCAGTACGTGACTCCTTTTGACAGAACACAAGTTACAAGCACTAAACGAAGCTTTCCCTCCAGTCTACACATTGTAAAAAGTGCCTTGAAAATAAGAAGCTGTAGTTAAGGCAAGGAGAATAAAATGCAAGTAAGTTAATTATCTAGCCAGAGGAAGAAACAGATAGGGAAATCAGCTTGGATTACCTGATGAAGCATCTATAGGTTTGGTCAATTAATTCAGTGCACCATCTTCCTCAAAAGCCAATTTGGGACTAGAAGGTATTGTAGCAGCATCATTCAAGTTTTGATTACAGTTACCAGCAGAGATGCTGTCCGAGCTCAGCTTGGTTGACTTAGAATGCACTCCAACGTCAATAAAGTCCTCAAAAGTCCATGAACCGGATTTTCCATTAAGATTCTGAATAAGTCCAATTGTATGATCAGCTTCATTAGCACCCAACTTCACTGAGTCATCGATGACCATTTCTTTTGCAGGATGGCTAGAAAAAAGGAGAATGGATACTTGCATTAAAATTTCTGGATGTTTAACCTTTAGATTCATTACAGGAGAGCCTGTAATTAGCAGTCTGCATATTCTGCAAAGCACTGAATATCCTGAAGGGCATTCCCAGACAAGCTACTCCAGCTGCCACGTGGGATCTCCCTCCAAGAGCCAATGAGGAAGAACAACTCACCAACATATACCCACTTTTTACTGTACTAATAGCTCTCAGGTAAGGTCTGAATCCAGAAATTCGATATAAGAAAGCAACAAGTTTTAGTAGTGTGCATTTTTCCTTTTTTCTCCAGTTTTCAAAACACAAAACCAAGCCTCAGAAGACCAGCAATATTTAAAACAGATTCAAAATCTAAACCCAAAGCAGAGTGACAAATTTTCATTCATTCTTAAGAAAATAATGAAAATGTCTTTATAGTCTGTCACTGGAAGAATGACATTAATTTATCATCACTTAAAGAAAAAAAAAAAAGACATCACAATGTAGTTTCTACATCATTGGCATTTAGATGAGCAAATGGAACAAGCATCAGAAAACAGATTTTCCACTAGTAGGTGGAAATGCTTTATGTTCAAGAAGATAAAATTTGAAATACTAAAACAAAATTCCCATTAAGCGAGGCTTTTGTGTTGTATCTGGTGTTTCAGCACAACTGTAACTATTCTAGAGCTTTCTGTAGGTTATTCTTCCTTTTCAGTGCTGTCCCCGTCCCTCTTGTTTAATGTTTTGGTAATGAGAAGGACTGCTAGCCATTTCAAGAGAAAAGATTCAAAGCCAATGCCATTCTTTTAAGTAACACTGCTGCACTGTGTCTCACCTCTTAACAAAGCCAGCACTGTCAACATGGTGCCATCTAAAAAAACCCTCACCCTGAACTAACCACCTCTGTGTGAAGCAGTAAACCGACAGCATGCACACACCACATGCCTGCAGCAAGCCAGAGTCATACTACAAAGCTAGCGGGGTGCAAAATTTGATGCAATGCTACATACAGCACGAAATTGAATTTAAACGTAGAGAGGGATTTCGTGACTGATGGATTACTGCTTTGACAGTAAAACAGCCACCTACAGACTCACCTGGAATCCTTTAATTCAGTAACATGTAGAGATCCCTCATCACTTTTAAAATCACCTCCATTCATAAATACTTCACTGGCCTTCAACTCTGACACATCTTGGTCTTCAGATTCGGTAGAGATCAAGCAATGCGCAGCCTCTAAACAACCCTCTGCCTCCCCCTTGACTTCTTGGGGTGAGTCAATGCCATTTAGCTTTTCTGATTGGGCGAGGTGGGGGGGAAAGAAAGAAAAAAGTTCTTCAGTTACAGAACTGCTATTCCAAATTAACAAAATAATTTTTTAAAAAATGACCCTTCCTAGCCAAAACTCGAGGCACGTGGCTTTTATAGAATAATTTCTCTATAGACAAGCTGCCTGTAACAACATGAAATTGTTTTTCATCTTTAAAAAGAAACTTTTAAAATGAAAACCTGCTGCCTGCATTTCACACTCAAATAATTTCTGCATTTAATAATTTTGACTGTTTCCTGTGGAACAGAACAAGCAATGATCTACTCTCTGTTCAAGCAGAGAGCATCCCTGGCATTTCTGGGACTTTTGTCTCAGACCATCCCAGTATTGCTAGGTGACTGACATTTTTAACAATGCTTAATCAACCCTGAGACACTGACTGCCACTTACACCTGACCCATTGGGTTTCCTTACCTGGTTGATCAGTCTTCTCAAGACCCAACTCTTCCTCCTCTTCAATATCATCTCCCTCAGTAGCCTCAGAGGCAGACTTCCCTTCATTCTGCAACTGAATTGCTGGAGTGTTATTCAGAATAACTCACTACCATGCAGCATTTCACAAATGGTTCAATAAAAGCTCCCATGCAGGACAATTCTGTGCCCAGCTAAGGTGATGCTAGTCCAGGGCTAATAGACAATCAGATCATCCAGCAACAACATGCTCTGCTGAGCCAGAGCGTGTAAAGGAATGTGCGGGACCACTTTCCATCTCCTGCTTATGAACTATTCCTGAGTTCCCTCCTCCCTCATTTCTCCAAGGCATGAGCTAAATATTGATTGATGTTCAGTCATATGAAGACTTTGAACTTTGAACGTTCAGAGAATGACTACTCCTACATATAACTGAAGAACTGTTTACAAGGTCAAGTAGCAACAGGACAAGGGCTAATGGTTTTAAACTAGAAAAGGGTAAATTTAGGTTGGATATTAGGAAGAAGTTCTTCAAAATGAGGGTGGCACATCACTAGAACAGGCTGCCCAGAGAGGTGGTGGAGGCCCCATCCCTGAAGATACTCAAGGCCAGGCTCCATGGGGCTGAGCAACCTGATCTGGTAACATTGTTCCAGCTCACTGCAGGGGGGTTGGACTGGATATCTTTAAAGGTCCCTTCCAACCCAATGCATTCTATGATAATGTGCATAATTTACCACAAAACCTAACTCACTATACTAACAAAAATAGAACCAGTTTTCTGTAGCCATCCAAGGGGCATCCAAGATTTGCTTTAGGCAAACAGATGAAGCCAAGAATTAAAAGTTTTCTGGGGAAAAATAGCCCCAGCAGAATGCATACAGGTCATGAAAAAAATCCTTCAATAACGAGTGGTTTTTTTAACCAATCTGCAAGTGATAACACCAATCACATTGTCTCTTGAACAAAAAGTAATAAAACAAAATCTGGTCAGAAAAAGCAAAGCAAAATTTATGCAATGGGAAGCTACTAAAAATTATTCTGGTGCACCAGAACCTTGCACTTCACATGGAAGCCAGATTGTGTAAGGATAACACAGGAAGACAGGAGACAAGGCAAAGCCTTATCTGGGAAGAGCCCATTCTGTCATTATGTGTATAAAGAGATAAAGTACCTTTGATTCATTTTGATCTGACTTTCGTGTCCTTTTCATTATTTCTTCAATTCTCTGTTAAAACAAGGAAAATATTTGCAATGACGCACAGAGCTTTATATTTCAGCATTCTGGTTTTCATTTTTATCAATCCTAATATGTCTTCCTAATTCATAAATTTACTACTTTTTTCCCTCCACCATTTTTAAAGCTCACAAGCCAGAATTGACTTTTAAAAAAGAACACACTACTTCTATTTAAATGCATTTGAGACCATTTGCCTGTTCAGTTTAACACCTCAACCACTAGTTTAGGCTGAGAAACCTCTCTGCTTTCAAAACAGGATACCTTTTTCCTTTCAAGCCTTTCCTGCATATTTTGCTGCATAATTCTCTCTCTTTCCAGCCGCTGTCTTTCAGCCTCTTCTTGAGCTTTTGCTTCAGCTTCTTCTCTCTGAAAATAAAACAAAAAGAAGTCCACAACTCATTCCCAGAGTCAAAAGCAGAGTTGTCACAGACATTCTGGTTCAACAGACAGGAGTATCAGACAATCACTATTCAATATTCCCCCACATTGCAGCTAAATGTCAATTACCCAGCTACCAACATGAAACATACATTACGATGGTATTCAGAAAGTGATCTGAAAAGAAAAACTATGCATAGTGCATGGCTGTACTATGATAAGGCAAATGCTCTGGACGTTGTTGAGCTACTCAGGGTTCAAACTATACTTCAGGATGAAGATTTGTCTAAGAAAGATAATTTATGAAGTAACAAGACAGCAATGTGGCAGGGTTAACTTAAAAATCTTGGGAGTCAGGTATTACTACCAAGATACTTGGTGCTGAGCATCTTCTGTCCCTTCTATCCCAGGAAATCTTTTCCAGTATGTTTGGAAAGAAGACAGAAGCGTAGTTAACACTGAGTAATTGTCATAAACTTAAACAAGCTTTTAAAGAAACATTCAGACAGATGTCAATGCTATCCTTAAGATACAGCTCTTTAAAACACACAGAAATTGATTGTAAAACTGCTTTAATTTTCACAAGTCAACTCATTCAAAGAAAGTCCAATTTCTGCAAAACAGCTTCCTTCAGTTAGAAGCATGCCTTTGTAAAGGAAGGCAGATAATGAGCTGTGGGACCCAATTTAGCAAAAACAGACCTAGAAACACCACCAATCTTTCTTTTAAAGGAACTGGAGCAAGCCAGATGACTTTCCAGACAGACCACCACATTATAATCTGTAGAAATAAGCCGGTAAAGTGGGCTGAATATAAACATTTTACGTATGCAAAATAGCATCCCACATGGCTAAAAAAATTTCAAAATATCTCCTTCTGCCACACACTTGAATTTATCAGATGTTGGGGAAAAAAAAAATCAGAAATCACATAGACTAGGGCAAAGAAGGAACTTCAAGACATTCTCAAATCCACCTTGGACAGGATGCACTCTGCTTTACATCATTCCTGACAGAGATTTGTCAAAACTGTTCTGTGAAAAAAAAATAAAATCAAAGGTAACCTCCTCAAAAAGACTTCAGCAGCTTGTATGAGGAACACAGTTGGAGCCTACAGATGAGCACACCTGGTGTTGAAGTTCTGCAAGTTTCTCCTGCTCTTCCTGTTCTCTGCGGATCCTCTCCTCTTCAGCCTGTCTTTGTTGCTCTTCATAACCCAGGCTCTTTTCCTCCTCCTGTTTGCAGAGCTCCTCCTCCCGTCGTGCCTTTTCCTCAATTGCTCTCTTGGCCATTTCTTCCTCTCTGATTCTAGTGTTTGCAAGACTCAGATTACTGACTGGATATTTCTTTCTTTAAAAGTGTGCGTGCGCATGAGACAGACCAGGAAAGCAAGAAGTTCTAAGTTACCCGATCACAGAATAACTGCGTAAAGGTACTTCTGGATGTGGATTTACAAATGCCACCGTCCAGACCCATCAAAGGAACTATGCATTACATATATACTGAGATACAGATTAATGATACACACAGCAACCTGTCCCATCTCTAACAGTGCTAGTGCCTGTCTCTACTTCAGAAACTGCATTAAGATTGACAGGAACTTTGAATTAAAGCTTAGGAAACAGATACAGCTGGAGTGCCCACCCCACCACTAAAAGCAGCCCTTCCCTCTCCTGAATTGTTACCTTTCCTCTTCCTGTCTCTGAATTCTTTCTTCGTCTTCACGCTCTCTTTGCTCCCGCGCTAGACGTCGTTTCTCTGCCAAGATTTTAGCAGCCTCTTCAGCTGTGGTGGTCCCTGCTACTGTTTTGCTACCTGATTCTGAAAAGGTTAAAAGAAACTGCTGGTAAAAAGTCTCAGTAATGTAATTTTAAGAAAAGACGTTATCACTGTGAGATGAGATTTTTCTCTTGGTCAACTGACCTACTATCTCTTCTATCAGTGCTCACCACTCAGCAAGCATATCCTGTATCTAAAGGCCCACAAGAGCCAAAGGGGAGTCCTAAACAGATGTAAAGTGGAATAATAACAACCCATTTCAACTACACTGATCCAGCCATATTCCAGATGACAGTTAGTCTCCAATTACCATAGTACTTAAAAACACATTTCTGAAAAGATATGTTTATTCTATAACACTTACAAACACTTAAAAGAAAATGGAAAAAAAATACTGCTTTAAGAAATAGACGTTCTTCTAATAAAACTAATTTTACTTACATAAATAATAAATTAACATAAAAAAAACCCAACCACCCTTGCCATCCAGTTGCTCTCAATATATACTGAAAGAACTCTGATTTTTATAGCAGTTATTCCCACTCTCTAGAAATATTGCTGTTTGAATGTGACTAAAGAACTCATCATCTGAACATTCAGAGAATTAGCTCTTGGTGTCAGTAGAGCAATTGCATCATAATGTAGGTGAGGACCTGCCTGTCCTCATTGTAATATTTCAGAAATCAGCACTGTATGTTTGCTTAACATTTATAAAGCCTTCAAGCCAAGGTAATTTTAATGAACAGCGACATCAGGGTTTGATCAGTTATTCTGCTTCTGACCTAAAGACAAATCACTCAAAACACAATGCCATCATTAGGAACTTTAATACCTGAAAAGCTGCTTAAACCCCATGGACACGTAATTACTACCTGCAGCTGTAGGGCCTAATTACACAGAATACACTGTCAGCAGCTGAATCATGGCAGTGTTTGGTGCATAAAAACTGTTCTCGGAGTCCTAGGAAAAGCATTCCAGCACTGACGGGGTGCAGTCACAGAGAAGTTTTCTAACCTTTAGATTTGTCCAATGCTGAAAAAAGAGGCAGCTCCCCAGGATGCATATGGTGTCTCATTTGGGCAAAAACGCAACCATGTCAGTGCAAACATCATCAGCCACAACACTTGCAATGTGAACTGAGGCCAAAGGGGTGCTCCTCCTCCTCATCCCTGAGCAGGAAAGATCAGTCCTCTGATGTTCTAAGAACCATGAGCAGGATCTGCCTACTTGAGACTTGCATGTACTAAGTGCTTTTCTTCCTATATTCTGTAATGTTTTTTTTTTAATTAAAGAAAAGGTGGGAGGTTTCACTTACTGTTGCCAGTATACAACCATGAAGAAATCAAAATGCCTCTTTTCTCCTCTACCACTTGAGTGTCTTGCCAGTTTAGACTAGTCACTCTTGACAGCCAGCAGAGGCCATCTTCTGTCGTGTACTTGCACAGCAATCAGCGCAACAGTCCTATTTTAATGCCACTGGAATTTCACTTGTATTAAAATTGGTTGACATTTAATGGCAGGTTTAACCTATTTCTCCTCCCTCAAAATTGACGCTAAACAACTTTGTTCTCAGCAAGAAGCCTAAAGGTTTCAGGGTTATAGCATGATAATGACAATTTGAAATATGATCAATATCTGGTATTGAAAACAACAGAAGAATATTAGTCATAAAGATTCAGAACACCACAGATATGGAAACAGCAAGGAGCATAAAAACAAAAGAGAGGATAGGAGACCCCAAGTCTATGGGGGACCTCCCCACTGCATTTACACTTTTGAAGCTTTATTCATGTTTTTCATATGGTTACTTCAATAGTGCTTTCTTCAGCATGCACCCCTCGTGCAGTTTATTTCCATGGGATAGGACACAAGATTTCCCCACATGACTGCTAACGTGCCTTAAGAAGATTCCTCCAGCGTTTTATACTCTGCTCCATTTTCCTTGCAATCCCACTTAAAACTGTCTTTTTCCCAAAGGACGTTTTTGTGATGGAAGGGGAAAGAGGAAAACAAGCAAGAGAAATGTCTCAAAGCAATTGTAAAATGCATCTACAGGACTGACACCTGATCTGTTGGCCTTACTTAATTCTAGCCTGTGGTTTAGGAGCAAAGAGGCACTACTAAGCCAAAGAGGTACCTGGAGCCGAAGAGGAACTTTAGGCAGTTCCTGTTCAGCAGTATTTGGTTTCCAACTGAGTACAAGGATGCAGAAGATCTGCAACATGTAAAGAGATGGAAGTTGAACCTCCTCCTTTTCTCCCACTAATCTGTAATTCCTTTTAGAGATGCATATTACACAGATCTGCTATGTGAAGAAAAGCTGGTGTCAGTTCCTTACTGGACTGCTATTTTCCAGTATGACACCACAAACACAAATGCACTTGTGTTGTAGTATTAGCTGGATGGAGGGAAGATTCCAAGACATTTCGAGGCAATTCATTTATTCATAATGAATCTAGGAATCATATCCCAAAGCCTTCAGTACCCGCATACAAAGAAGTGAGGCTCCATGATAGTTTATTACCTATCATCATGCATAAGGTGAGAGCTCATGAAGGAGCACTTCTTATGCTTAAAGTTGAAACAAGCCTTTTAACTCTCAGAGAAGACGTGAAAGGCTACCGGCAGAAATGACAACTGCTCCGAGTCACTGAAAAAAAAAAAGTGTTTAACTGCAAGACAGTATATTTTAGTAGGAAGACACAAAAAAACAAGAGAAAAAATTTGACTGCTGTCAGCAACAGGCAACCAAGTTCAGTTTGAAGGAGAAGAGATGGTATGAAGATACAAGTACACAAAGCTGAAATTCAGGTGAACCTACAAGACCTAGAGACTGATTTGCCACATGCCGTTAATTGCTGCATTCTGACTTCAGAAGCTGGAATTTGGTATTGCACCAACCCACAGGAAGAACAGATGTTTAAAATGAAAATTACATTGAAAATTGAAAGCGACTTTTTCTTTTTAAGAACAAAGATTTTTGTCTCACTTAGCAACATTGCCGTGTGCCAAAACATTCAAAGAGATAAACGAAATAATCTCTAGGTTGAGGAACATGGCCACTGTTTCCTTATCTTATGTGTCAAAGAGCTTCCCCTAGCCCCACTGTGAACCACTAGAAAGATTACTAGCTTGAAGATCAGCAATAAAATAAAATGGAATCAGATAAGCTGGGCTAATTCAGTTCCAGAAGTCAGTGTGGAGAGGAGCCAGATGGAGCATTCAAGGAACAAGGAATTGTGTTCTTGTTCCTGTACAACTGGAAGATACAGAAACAGGACACGTTACGGAGGTTTCAACCAAATGACGACATTGATTACAACTGATTATGACCCTCTAAGGCACGCAAGGTATTTATCACAGTAATGTAGCACATCAAGGGATGGACATTCTGACTGCAATGACGAATGATGTGACACTGAAGATGGATGTGCAACTTCATACAAAGATCCACATTTGACTACAACATTCAGGCTTCCTTCTAGAGGAACATATGCTCAAAGAACTGTACCATAAATGAGTTCTTCAGCTAACACTATTTCACATCCAACATTGAGCAGTGTTGGGAAGAGCCTCAGAAATAGGACAACCGCAGCAGCTGAGGAATGAATGCACAACAGGAATCATACATGCAGTAACGTGCAACAAGCATATGTTCCCACTTACCTTGTGTCTGAAGGACTTTCACCCCCAGTACTGCCCACTGGCTGTAGTTTAAACTCCAGAGATCCCTTCTTTTCCTTTTAAGTCTCCCCTAAGTCGTTCTCCACAGAGAAGTCCCTGACAGACCTCCTCAGAAGGCTCTCCCAGATTCTGTTCTGGAGATGGCAGATGGCATTCTTCCAGTCAGAGGGACAGAGGCTGTGCTTGCTTGACACAATGGAGAGGACTAGGAGACTAATTGCTTATCCAGTGTATGGCTCTCCTTCATCTACCAAGATAATTTCTCAGTGTGACCCGTGCACTGATCACTTCTTCCTGAGGCAGCAATGATTACATATTCACAGGGATCAAGACCGAGGCAGCAGTCTAGCTTTGCGAAAACTGGCTCTCAGACTGTGATGCACTAATAGCTGATTTCTTCCTCCAAGCAGGTCTTGCTCTACACAAGCAATTTTAAGAACTACCAACTGGACTGAAAGACCTTTGTATAGTTTAACTATTGACTGTGCAAACCTAAGCTAATAGATCCCTCATCTAATGTGGCTAAAGTTCAAAAGGCAAACAGGATTTCTGCTTTTCTTAAAATTATAGCACAAGCAATAATATTGAAAGCTCTTGATTTAAATCTCCAAGTCAAACCAACCACCTACTGCACTAAAATCCACAACCAAAAGTTACACCATGTAAAACTGTTGTATAAATAATCAGCAATGAACAGCTTCCGCCTTAAAGCATCCTACCCTCCAGTGGTCTGCCTCATGAACGAATTTTTTCACCAGTCCTAGCACACACTGGAGATGACTTGAATAAGAGTGTGCCAGTCACTGAGAAACACTCACCTTCTTTGGTCTTTGTGCTAGCTGCTACCACATCCCTGTCCAAGGCTGGTGAAGCACCTTGCTCTTGTCCTGTACCTTCTGTGCTCTTATCCTTTGGTTTGCTCTCTACTTCAGTTTTCTTTTTGGTAATGTTTATAACACCTGGTGTGAGAGGTGGACGTTGGATGGGTGCTGGTTTAGAGACTGGAGTAGGAGATGGTGGCCTTTGTTTTGATACACTAGGAGAAGGTGGGCGAGTCTTTTGTCTGTTGAAATAAAGAATGTATTTCAAAGCTAACATGGAAAACCTTGGACACACAACGAAGGACAGTCTACTTTCGTTAGTTTATGTTACATACTTCACTATTAAAAATGAATCCACCCACAAACTACTGGTGGCTTCCTCATAAAACTCAAAGTCAGGATCCTAAAATACCCTGGGTAGCTGGACTCAATACTTGTGGGCTACCATCAAAACAGATTTGCTAGCCCAGATCTCCGTTTACTCTGCATCAAGGATGAACCCTGTGACTCCAATCCAAGGAACTTCTTACACTAATATAGGCATATCAGCATATTCAGAAGCTTGCATGCTTCCTGTTGGTTTTACTGCACAGACTGTACAGAAAACCATTGTGTATTTTGTCTGCACAAAAGAGACAAAGGTTCAAGCAAGAGTGAAGTCCTTATGTGTATAAACAGAGCATAGCATAGGTCATCCAAATTTTAACAGCACAGCTGTCTTGAGACATGAAACTGCCTTCACTTTGCTCTGAATCAAAGAAGGAATCTAGCCTGGACACATACCTGATTGTAGAAGGTGATGGAGGACGCTTCACCAAATTAGCAGGAGAAGGGGATCTTCTACGGGCAGACATAGATGGTGAGGGAGGGCGTTTTAACCCAGCACCTGGGGATGTTTTTTCCATCTCTGATTTCTAAGAAGATAGACAAAAAGTAAAATAATGCTCACTCTCTAGAAGGCATTACAGGTGGAGGTGCTGCTACAACAACATACACTTTCCAACAAGATGTACTTTACATTTCCTTTATGTTCCAAAACACAGACAGCCAATATGTACCTAAATTACAATTTTGGGAACCACAAACAGCAAACAGTATGCAGGTAAGATACCAGAGAGATTAAAGACCATAAAATCCCAATTTGATTTCAATACTGTGTTTTTTAAGCAAATGCTAGTAAACATTTCAATAAGCAAGCAAACTGTTGAAACAGGATCCCATCCCGAGATGTTCCAAACCCCCACATTAATACAAAACTAATTCCTGTGTATTTTCAACACACCTGGGTTGAATCTGGTGAACTTGCATCTGATGAAGATACAGAGGACTTCAATCTGTCGATGCTATGACTGCGCACGGGCACTTTAGGAGTTGGGACTGGGGAACTGATGGAACTGGCTGAAGCTGAACGAGGACAGAGGTGAGAATCTATAAAAGTTAGGAATTTGACAAGACAAAACAAGAAGCAAGTGCACAGCATAAGAACAGGAGAAAAGGAAGAGAGAGAAAGAAAGAAAGATTGTGTGTGTTAGAAACTGTACAGAGAAACGCCACAGGCAGTGCACACTGCAATGGGTCACAGACACAGACACCACCACCACACGATTAGTACTTTGGAAGCAACAGCACCAAAAATAAAACCATTCTGAAAGCAGCGGTCTGGAGTAGATAAAAATAAAATGCTTTTCCAAACAATCTCCAAGTATGCAATACACCAGGGTTACTTTAATTTTAGTCAAGTGGCATCTAATCACAAATACTTCAGTTTTAATGGCTTAGCATCTTTCTTTACAAGTTCTTTATGACAGAGTCTAATTTTAAGCATGTTTTCCCCATACTCTAGGAGGAAATCGTCCTTCTTTTCAAAGAGTAGTTATACAGCAGAAATTTAGGAATCTGAGGATTACTTTACAAACTTTTCTTGTGAAATAAGCATTTTTGCAACATTATTTTATTCTACTTTCTACCCTTTAATAGTATATACGTGCACCCTTTATTCACAGTAGCAAATCAAAGTAGATGGTGTAAAAGAAACCTATCAAGAGAAAAAGGTCAACTCTTAAACTACAACACTGTAAAAATGACCCAAAACACCACTCTCTTCATCCATAAGATAATGAAAGAAATTGTAACTTCTGTTTTTTCACTAACATAATTGTAGCTGGATAAGCACACACAGATGTAAAAATCTACTTTTGAAACTAGAGATTGGATTTTTCTACAGCCTGAATAAATTGTGACAGATGCCAGCATTTACTTTTGGAACTTTACGGAAAATACATTTTATTTTTATATTTCAGCATTTGTGCAAGGAGAACTGCATTCTGCTTGTGCATAGTTTGTGCTAAAGTACAGGTATTTCTTACTGAAATGAAGAAAGTACCTCTAAGCAAACTGATAAAAATTTAAAATTTATCCTTAATTCAGCAGTAGTGAATAAGTCACATGCTGTCAGTAACAGTGAAAAAGATGGTATTTCCCACATGATATGAACTGAAATATTCATGGTAAAATAAAAGTGGCACATAGATAGGTGTGCAAAAATATGACCCCTGACTACACACTAAAAAAATTAAGAACTGATTATTACACAAGGGGAGCAGTGTAGAAATGTCACCATTATCAACAAGGACCAAGGTAAGTGGCATAAGATAAAAAAGATGGAAGAACATACTTCAGAGGAAACAAGCAAAACTGGGAACACAAGTTGTAACATAAGAGAAAGGACTCCACATTTGTTCCTGATATGCATTCACTGGGGCATTCTTACAACCAATAACATTGTAAGACATGTGGGAATGCAGCTAGGGTTTGCCCATGATGTAGACATTCCTGTGCTAGTACTAAGTTAAGGCACAATGTGGGCTTACCAGCTCAGTCTGGACCAGCATAAAAGTATATGAGCCAGCCAGGGTTTCTTTACAGTATCTTCTCCTTCTAGTATGCCTCTACTCCTACAACCAGCCTGAGTGAAGCCAGCTCATGGCTCCCTGCATTTATGTTAAGTCAACTCTTCGTCATACTCCTACAAGAGTTTCTCCCCTCTGAAGAAATGAAGGTTTTGCACTTATTCCTTTCAGTCTCCTTTGACATTACATGCTTGCTGGGTTTCCCCCCCTTCCATTCATTTCCTAGCACTGTTCTCCGAGCAGTATCTCTCAGATTCACTTAAGGGTACACCCAAATGCAGATCTCTGGCAGTTAAAAAGAATCCAAACAAACCATAAACGAACATCAGCATCTGGTTCTCTGCAGAGCAAGTAAACTGGCACTAGTTTAAAGGCCAGTACTATTTTATGGTTTCGTAAAGTAAACATGCAACATAGCATATGAATTGGTTATTACTGACCACAGAAAATACTGGATAAGTAGCATTATACAAAACCATATATTAACTGTCCAGTTCATACTTAAGTGTAGCACAGTTAGTGACTACCATGTAAGTTCTTGCTTGAAGAGCAACTGCATAAAACTTCCAGGCTTTGCTGCCCTCCTGTTACCTGAGGGATCTTGTCCATCAGCCGACAATGTAGCAGCACTTTTACTCCTAGCTAAGGAGGCCTGTGTGGGGGCGAGGAGGCGACTGATTACACTACTGTCCAGAGGACTGAGCTGGGAGCGACGAGCTAAATGATGGGAACAAATCAAAAGGATCCAACATGAAATCGTATAATGAAAAAGACAAGCAGTACAAAGCAAAGGAGGTTTTTAAGCACTGTTGCAAATCATAAGTTTTGGAAGAGAAATACGGAAGTCACGGAGAGGGAAATCCAAACCAATAGCACAGAAGGGTTAAATATGGCAATTTCTTATGTTCCACTTGTCCTTGGTTTGCTCAATACTAATAATTTTCATGTGCGAAGACTGACATGAGTACAACAGAGATGAATGCTGAAGTCAGTCAAAATATGCTTATTTTTTGACCCAGAGTTATATTCTCTAGATTACAGACATAATAAACAGACATAATAAACAGAAGACTTGCAAGTCAAAGCAAATGGTTATTGTCAGGCATCATTTGCACATACAAATTCACATGGACAGCACCCATCATCCTCCCATACAGGAAAGATTCTGAAGCAGAATATCATTTTCACTGTTGGCAATATCTGCTAAAAAGGAAAGTTTCAGAATTGTTAGCTAAAAGGAAAAACACGTTAGAAAAGTTGCTAGCCTTCAGCTTTAGAAGAGTTCCTAGAAAAGAGATGTTTGTAACCTAGTGAGGAATATACACAGACTAGCAGAGACTGAAGTGAGAACAGGTTTCCTTCTTCATGTGCATGCACAAAGTTTAGGCCAGCAGCAGGAACAGAGAATTTGCTTTGAAACTGAATAATGAAAGAGAGCTTAAAAAGCAAAGGTAAGATTTAGCTGAAGAGTGAACATATCAGTGACATTTTTACTATATCTTACATTTAAACCTACCAGTTTTCAAATAAATCTCAATCTCTCAAGCAAAGAGATATTTTGCTATCTACTTTCAGTGCCATTAAGAAAAATCAAAGTCCTACTTACAGGATTTCTTTTTTTTGTCCAAAGGAAGAAATTTAATCTTTACTATTTACACTTTTATCTTTACCACTGGATAACTAAAATGACATCAAAAAAGTCCTAAAAGTTTAAGAATCAAGGAAACTAGTGAAAGTAAGCCTATCCGAACTTTACTATGAATGGCTTTAAAAAGAAATACTCAGCTTTAGGAAACAACCACCTGGTTTTTCTTCCTTTTTCAATTTTTCTAGTTCTGGAGAGGACTGGGGTTTACTACTCATTCTATTCAAAGATGTGCTCCTCTTCTTTTCTGTTCCTCCTGGAGACCAAGCGTAAGGAAGATTATTTTTAACAAGATATTTATATAAATAATTTTCTAAATTATTAAATTAAAGCCATTTGCTTTTGCCAAGAAATCACCTAAAATCACCGATCTATCATTAAGAAGCACTATCCACTCATGAGCTAAATGGTCTGGCTACCATTTGTCTATTCTTCTCCCACCCTTTCACTTTTCAGAGGAATAAGACTGGTTTACAGACACAGTTATCCAACATCCAGCACTGCAATGTGTGTAACAATATTATGCCATGGTACACAGACTATATGCACAGCAGTGAAAGCCTGAGTAAAAACATCTATAATGAAACCGGAACATGGTTTAAAGTTGACTTCAAATATCCCATTTACTGTCTCCCACGTCTCAAAACAAACTTGTTTCTAGCACCTTTCTGTTCCACCTGTGAACCTTTGAGTGCTGACTGCTGAGAATGTAGAGGAACTTTGTTATTCAGTCTGTTTAATGAGGCACTTCTCTTTGTGGTACCTGGAAGTGAAAATGCATGGATTAATTATGCTGAAAAGCCTAAAAGTCACCTCCAACACCAGCCCCATTTCCCTAAGATACAGAGGAGTAATCAAGTCACTTCACAGTACGAATCCCTTAGAAGCAGGAAAACTGGATCAGGGAAGAATTACTCGACATAAAACATTACTTCTTATATTCCTGTATGTTACAGATCATAGCAGCAGGATGCTGGTCTCAAAAAAGTCCTTGTCTGACCGACTGAGGCCATCCTTGTACCCCTTTTAAAATAAATAATTAAAAAAGACCATTGCTCACATTCTGTATGAGTAAGAGTGAGAAACAAAGCGCTCAGCTCAGAATTAACAAAGAACACAGCTGATTAAATACTCCACTGATCCAGGGACAAGCATCTTCCTCTCAGTTCTGCATTCTGCTCCTCCACCTTCCCAGGCACATACACACGGCAGCAGCAAACTGGTTAATTCTGCAACTGTATTTTCTGTTGTTGAATTTAGCCATCATTCACCAAACAGTCATTTCTTCTTGAGTGCCAGATCAAGAGCACAACATGGCTCTAACTTGCTGTGGTGGCCTAAACCACTCAGTCAGTCAACCTCTGTACTGCTGGAGTCCTGTTCAAATTTCTTGTATTTCAGGCCACCTGAGAATTTTTCCTCCAGAGTGAAGACAGATTCACAAAGGATTTCAAGGTATGTCAGTAAGTTTGAAAGCAATTCCAATTACTTGATAGCGATTTCCTTTGTTAGTGGTTTTATTTGTAGTTTACAGCCCTGTTTCTGACTCATACCCAGAGCTGAACCCTGCAGACACACTATATATAGATTTAATTTTAAATCACAAGCAGTCTCCAGTGACTCAGAGCCCCTGTAGCTATGCCAGTATAGATGAATTCACTGACTCCCCTACCAGGCACACAGTCTCTGAGTACAAGTTTTTCTGCTGCACGACCTTCCAGCATGAACCAGCAAAATCACTGTTAGCTGTGTCCATGTGAGGGATTGTTCTAGCACAGCTCATCTGATCAAAGGTTGGAGACTGACAGAACACTGCAGTGTAGACCTAGCTGAACTTGTTTTCATATTAAACAGCACTTAGCTTATTAATGCTTTTCATCATTTTGGGAAAAAAACCAACCAAACCCAAACATTTGGGATACAGGTAGGCTCCCAAGAAACGCTGGGAAGATTCCCCATAAGGAACCAGGCTAAAACAAGCTGGTATGTGCTCATGCAAATATTTTTTAATTTTTCTTAACAAGCAGATTAGAACAATTCCTTGTGTTTCATAATTATTTTTTTTTATTTAGAGACGGCAAATTGCCATGATTTACATAATGTCTCAGGACAAGGCAGAAGGGAGGAGGCAGAGAGGAGACTCACGTGTACAGGCTTACCAGAGAGTGAGAAAACCAGAGATCTACCTCATTCTCTACATCCCTATTAAGGCTAGTTGGGCGGTGCACACTTTAAACATGACACGCTGCAGTCAGGAGTTTCATCCACCGCAAAAGTTGCAATTAAAAATGAGACTAGAAGCCACAGAAATTGGTAAAGAATCTTTAGAGAGCACTCTCAGAAAGCCTTAAAAAAATGAAATAAAAGGAATAGAAATGGCTCCAGGCCACTTCTGTTCCTTGATAGTCATCCGCACAGTAAGTAACCCAGAATGCTTGCAAGCAGTGGTGTGCACCAACAGTTTGAGAAATGCATAATCTGATTATCACTATCAAGCTTATACTACTTAAGTGGGCTAAGAAATTATGTCAGAGCTGCACGCTATGGTTACAATCATGCTAGAACTCCAGGTCAAAACAAAACCACCTCCTCCCACCCAAAAAACTCCCACAGGTGTCAAAAGTTTTTCATGCATTTGTCTCTATTTGGTTAAGGCAGAATTCTAATATTAAAAAAGAAGGTGTGTGTCTACAGAGTGCAGGACTGGCACAACAGAAATAGGTCAAAACTATGTTGATTGTTTCCTTCCCACAGGCAATCACATGACTGAAGGCATCTATCAGAACAAGGCAAACTTTATTTTTGTACTATTTTTATTTTGCTAAATTTTTAGGGTGTGATTTAAGGCATGCAAACCCCTAAAGATGATGTGAAATGATTCATGAATCAATCATTCACTGAGCTTTGACTTTAGTAAAACAATTACAGAAATAAAAAATAAAAAACCAGCAATTTTTACCGTTACTCTTCTCCTCTAACAGAGATCACATCAACCGAGTCAAAGCCCTGAACAGTCAAGCTGGATTAACAAATTGCATGAAATGCATTTGAGATCAAAACATGAAGTGAGTTACACAGCAAGGGAGGAAGAGGAGGATCATCCCGCCTCCTGCCTCCTCCCCAAACAGCAGTTAAGCAGTACACCTGCTACCAGCAGACACACAAACACTTACTTCGATCAGAAGCATTTAAAAGCGCTGCAGATGACGACAACCGTTTGTTCATGACCGCTTCTGTCTGTTTGAGGTTTGCTGTGGAGGTGGACCGCTTGCTGGCTGTGTAAAGAAGTGCGTACTTTAGAATCCATCTTCGTACCTCAGGAAGAACCTTCAACACACTGCTGTGAGCTAACTTTAGAAGTATTACATCCTGAAAGTTATTTCCAGTTTTGCTTCATGAGAAACAGAGGTATTTTTCCCCTTCTGAACAGATGTGATACAATTAGCACCAGTTGTAATGCGCACAGAAAAGGTATTTAGTTTTAGTGGAGTGATGGCAATCTTTTAGGGATATATAAGCAAAGAGGTGATTTTTAAACCCTGTGCTCCTAACATGTAAAGATGAAAGCTACTGAGGTTGTGTACCAGACTAGCAAGACACAGAAAGTAACAACAAAACCTTCACTCCTTCCACATAAGTATGTCAAAACAATTTTTCAATCACTAGTTAGCAAAACCAAACCAAAACAAGTGCTTTTGGAGGGATAAAAGCAAGTCCTGAGGAAAGGCAGGAAAGCGTTCCTATTTCCAATTACTTCTCAAGCGTTGCTCTATTTTAGATATTTCCAATTTTTTTCAAAAAGCTATTTCTTAAGTTCATGTTTCCTACCAATTTTCTAACTCTTCCAAAAAAGACTGCCACAAGAAATATTTTTTCTTTTTGGTATGTTTATACGCAAACACATATATACACATAAAAATCACACCTCACATAGAAAAATTCAAGTTTACCACAACCCACGTAAATATCTGCTTTGCAATTTCAAATAATGTACTTTCAGGATGAACACTACTCAAGAGTGTGAAAGCCTCTGAAAAGCACGTACCTGTTACGGAAACTCAGTAAGCAGAAACTGTTAATGCACACAAAGTAGTGCGGACTAGCATAACAAACACAGGAAATTCTATACATCAAACACAAGTAAATAAATTTTGCTGGCATACTGGACAGCAAAGATGATTAATGTGAACTCATTAGTGCACAAGTACCAAAGAAAAACACAGCCCTACTCACCAGAGAGGCAGCATCTTTTCCCTTTGGCCAGCATGCTACAGCAGCTCCTTAGAGCCAGGACATACGGATTCCCATGGACGGCCCTGCTCTGAATCGCACTTTTGACACAGGTTCCCAACCCAGGCTTCCTAAGCAAGGGGCCTCTCACAAAGCCACATCAAGTGAAAACCTGATTTTTGAGCTGAAGCTACATAAGCGGGAAGCTCTTGTCACAGTGAAGGATCCCCAGAGGATAAGAGGGAGAAAAGGGGATCTATTGAATCTAGTTAAGAAATGAAGATCTGAGCTTAGCGGATACTTTCCCAACATAACAAAAAAATGGCATTTTGTGAATGAAGCCAGAGTACTAGGATAACTAAAACAGCCTTGAGAGGTTTTATATACCAAAATCAGGAAACTCATAATTCATGCATTTGGGTGTTCTCAAAGGTAAAGTCTACCCTCTAGTGTCTGCTCTTCAAAAGCAAGCCTGGCTCCTGCTGGAGCTCAAGCACACGAACCAAAGGCCTCCAAACATGGAGGTGCTTCCTACAAATGCCTCTTGGTTCAAATTAGGACTTCAGCACTTGGAAGAAATATGAGATTTGGTCTGTCACCTACTGAGACCCAGAGGATAGAAAATTAAATCTTGCCTTGAAAAAAATTACACTAAGAAAAGCAATTATCTTCCAGAAAGTTTACAAATTCTGGAGGTGGTACTTAGTAAAGAGATAAGGGACAAAACTTCTGCTACAAGACTCAAAAGGTACAGGCTAAATATGACTGCTCAGACAAAAAAAAATACTATCAGTGCCTATTTTTCAGGGAAACAGAGAGCAGTGGTGAGGGCATGAGCTCATGTCATCAACTGATGACTCAACAGAAAAAAAATCTAATTGGTAAAGGGTATTCACACAGATACTTGAGTTGTCTTTTCCCAGAAAATTTTAGTTTGCATTAATTGCCCAAGATCTTAAAAAGACAATGCTTTTTTTGATCAATACATTTGCAAATAAATGATCAGACGGCCTCTTTTTTTCCCCTACTTCACCCACATGACAGCTTCTGCAAACTTGAAAGCTTCGGAAAATTCACTAGCTTTAGAAACTTCAGAAGACAGCCAGGATATTCTTGAGTAAGTTAGTCTGGTTGCATAGATATTTACAAAATATTTTTTAAAAATATCTCAAATATCTTTTGTATTTTGGAGGCAAAGTTAGAATACTTACATCAAGTGATCTGAAATTAAAGCAGCATACTGCATAAATCCCATGTGATACCAAGCATCTCTATTTTTTAATGGAAGCAGGAAAGTAAATCGTAGCACCAAAGACAAAGAAAGCATATGACTGCCATGCAGCATGGCTTGCAATTGGGTAAAAAGCTGGGAAAGAAAACTGTTATGAAAGAGCAGCTCTTGATCCTCTCACCAAGTTTCAATGAAAGAGGGTGCTGCAGCACTGCCTATCTGAGGCTGGATAAAATTAGGGTAAATAAAATAAGATTATGTCTCTCACTTCCTTCCAAATTTCTACTAGGACAAGGAAACTCTTTATTTAGAAAGGAGAGATTCTGGCAGCCCAATTTCTATTCTAATAGCACACGTCTCCATTCCATCTGAATGTTCAGTTTTGCTCAGCAGTCATCGCTAAACCTCCCTCATTCACAAGAACTCTGTCATCAAGGATGCTTTATTACAAGCCTCACGATTTCTCTTGGCAGACCCGTACCCTGCATGTTTCATCTTGGCACTGACAGCAATGTCATTAATGTAACATTTGACTCCGGGGCTTTCATCAATTTTTAAATTTCAGGCCATCAGCAGGATACTTGGTGCAGTCTCAGTGAAGCACATTCTGTACAGAATTATAAAATGTATTGGGTTGGAAGGGACCTTTAAGATCAGCCAGTCCAACCTCCCTGCAGTGAGCAGGGACATTGGTACCAGATCAGGTTGCTCAGAGCCCCATCAAGCCTGGCCTTGAATATCTCCAGGGATGGGGCCTGCACCACCTCTCTGGGCAACCTGTTCTAGTGATCTACCACCTTCATATTGAATAATTTTTTCCTAATATCCAACCTAAATCTACCCTTTTCTAGTTTAAAACTATTACCCTTTGTCCTGTCGCTACATGCCCTTGTGAACAGCTCTTCCCCAGATTTCTTATAGGGACCTTTCAGGTATTGGAAGGTTGCTATAAGGTCCCCCTGGAGCCTTCTCTTCTCCAGGCTGAACCACCCCAACTCTGAATAGCTGACAGTTGGTGAAATGCTCAGTTACACGGGGTTTACTTTCCAGAGTACGCTACCTCTATCACCCACAAATGCTGCTTTATCAGTCAATGTTCCTAAATACTACTGTTGACACAGCCAGACCATGGAAGAACATGTCTGATTCTGTATTTTTTTTGCAGAGCAGCAAAATAGTCAAGAAAAGCCATAGTCTTAAAATAACATTAAAAATATTTGAAATCTATTCCCCCAATGCTTTTCGTTTTAAGAAATGGAGCCTTTAATCCCAAACCTGCCACAGAATCTGATGGTGGAAAAATAACATTGTATTGAAACTTGCTCTAGACGTGCGGTTAGACAAGGTGCACTACTCAGCCACAATGATGTAATGCAGCAGAGCTCATATGCTGTCATTTTTCAGAGTAAAAAAAACCAAAAAGGTAACTGCTGTCTTTCCAGCAATTATGCAAATATGATGTGAAAGGGACCAAATAAAAACCTTTTAGAAAGCCAGCTGCACTTAGGCATCCTACATGGTTTGGGTAGATTTTAAATAACAATTAAGAGCTCCCAGAAAGATAAAAAGCTAAGAATGATCCAAAAATGGGAATAAACACAAGAAGTGTAAATCCAATTATGTTTCCACATTACCCAGCCCAGGTAAGACAGCTGCACATTTGAAACCTCAGCATAAAACCAAACACAAATTTAAAACTGGGGATGCACAAGTGTCTTAGTCAAACACTGCATTATCTGTTTATCACCAAAGTAATTTTTTTTCAAAATTGGTGCCAAGTTATCCAAATTGATCTACTGTAGCTGAACTTATCTGCTCCTCCTCTTGCTGCTTTATGATGCATAAGGTACAGCTTAAGCACCTATTACTACGTCAGAAGTGTGTTTGTTGGAAGACACTTTATTTCTAATATGCTTCAGCAGCACTGGAGATCTTCCTCTATGAGCAAAACAACAGAAAAGACTCATTTCTTCACAGAAATTAGGAGACAGCACAGAATGTTATTTTACATTTGTTACAAATTTTAGCTTTAAAATTAGGTAAGGTAGAAAAGAATACAGGAAAAAAAACCAACCCAGTGCTTTCCTAAACATGTAAGGCAAATGCAATTTCCTAGTTACAAGGTTAAATGACATTTGGTAATGTGTAACAGTAATTGGATTTACATATGTACCCAAGAACACATGTTAAACAGGTAAACCAATCCAGTCAAACTGGCTAATTCTGGAGAAAATTAGGGATTTGTGTGGTGCAGAGAAAGGGAAGAGAGACCTTAAATGAAACACACATGCTTCTGCTAGGTTGGCAGAATAAGCCACAGTAGTTAAATCACACTGAGTCAGACTTCAATTGCATTTTCAAGTCTCATATTGTCAGTATTATAAGACAGCTGTATTGAATTAGTAATGCTGTGAGCATGCACAGATTTTCAGAATTCACATTTAGCTGGATCTCAGCTGAGAGCTATCATCTTTAACTAGCTACAAGAAATAATTTTTTAATGCTTATTAAACATATAGCCTTGGCAAATATATCAGTAATCCAAAGCATGTCTGTGCACTGGAAAGTACCAAAACCCAACAAAATAAAATTTAATCTGTAGAGCTATGTTTAGATAACTGAACAGATCTGATTTTGCAAAACCCTTCATGGAAAAAGTATCTAACTGCACAAGGGACCAATGCCCTTTCACAAAGTTTCAGTAAAATGTCACTTGATTTTGCAAATTTTACTTCAACTGCTGGTAAAACAAAGCAAAGAGAAAACCAAGCCCTAACGCGCACTTTTTGCAAATTAGGAAACAATGAAAGGGTTCAAAATTGTCCTAAAAAAGAAATAAAGCTTAGACTACCGTACTAATTTATATTCAAATACATACCACTAAGAACTTCTCTTCTCCTCCCCTATGCTGTATCCAGTCATCTTTAAAAACCCAAATGCACATATCTTTTTCCTGAAAATTCCCTCAGGATGCCATGACTTGAGTTGCAGTTTAATTAGCTGGGAGGCATAGTTAAAAATGTAGGGGACTGCTTTCTACTTAGGGATCACATTTGTTGAACAGCTGGCCAAGATCCAGGAAAAGATCTATAAGAAGACGGTTTTCCTTAGTTTCAGAGAAACAAGAACTCAAGTTTAAAAGGTTAGTAGCAAGTGAAAAACAACAGAAAAAAACATTTTAGAAATCAATACCACCAGTTCCACCTTCATCTGTGGTCTGCTGTTCTGTAGAATAAGAAGGTTTGTAAGCTAAGTCACAAGGTCAAACAGCAAACAATGCAATTTAACCAAAAAATAGCAAAGATGGATATTATAATCGTAATTTATATCAAAGCACTTTCAAACATGTTACAAATAAAAATGTGACCACTCAAGCTGACAGAAGAAGATATGACTAAATGCACCACTTCAGAAGACAGACTAAATTGAAGCATTTTTTATTTTATTCCTGGACAATAACTTGTGTTAAGTTACGTATTGGTGAGGTCTTCCAGTTAGGTGGTGCATGAAAAGATCCCTTCCACTGTAGTCCTGATTTACACTTCTGGATTCAGAATGTTTACAAGCAGAAACAGCTAACTGTCTGAAACAGGAGACAATCTGAGCTCAAATTAAAATGTGTTAAAATGCATCACCTAATCTAGAATAAAACCTGTTTTCCAAAAAGCTTGGACATGGCCCACTGCATAATCTTACCCATTGCTGGTCATTCAACCAATTAGTTAGCACTCTGTAACTCTGAGGGTGTGTTTAAAACATTTCAGATGGACTATTACATTACAACTGTTTTGGTTTTGCTGGGGTTTTTTTCTGCTTATTATCAGTCTTAGCACACCATTACATGCACTGCAATTGAAGGACTCAGAATTATTTTGACATTATACATGATAATTCCCCTCATCTGATGGTTGGGGGCTGGCAATGCAATGCTGCCAGGTATTTTATTTCCCATGGCCTCTCTCTACCTCTTTCCAAAGTCAAAAGTAGCTCTAAGTCCGAGCAGCACTTCAGGGCAAGTACAGACAGGAGTCATTCCCAAGAGCTACCCGCAGATCCTGTTGTATGATCCAAGACAGGAAGGGATGCCCAGGTGCCTATGAACAGTGCTGCACCTGCTAGGGTACAATATTCTGTGATTTTAGTCATGCTAGAAAAGATGCTACTTACCTGTTTTGCTCTCTGAATCTGGAGTTACAGATCCTCCCCATGACCATCTCTTCTGTCGTGTTTCCAGTCGCTGATTCCGTTCCAAGGTACGATGCATAACTGCTTCATATCGCTCCTATCATCAAACAACACCTCTATGAAGCTGTGGAACAGCATAGCTACGCCATTAGACAAAATACCAATCCTCCTCCCCCCCCTGCCCTGTATGATTTAAAATGTCTTTTACCTATACTGCCTGATAACAAGCTACCATGCAAAGAATATTAAGGGCAATGAATGGTTTCAAAACACTGCAAATATGATTAGGTTGAGCTAAACCACAGATAATCTACTCCTTACTTAAAATAGCCATGAAACAGATCTCCTATTCAGTAAAGAGCACTACTTATTTTCTAAACAGGGATGAACCCCAAACTGAGCAAAAATAATTTTTTAACCTTCAAACGGTTTATAGTCTGAAGTTACATCTAAAAGGTGCTAAAAATCCTGCATTATAAAACACCAACTATAAGGTTATTTGTATTTTTAGAGAGCTATACAAACACCAACCCAAGTCTTAACAGGTACTGGCATTAATAGAGATATGATGAATCCAGAAATAGCAAGACATGAAGGCAAAAAAACCCAAGCAACTCCAGACCTCAACTGCTGACAGGACTGAAAGAAGCTTTTTCTTGGACCTCCAGGACTAGTAGCTGCTAACAGGGAAACTTTAGCTCTTGGGCACAAAGATGAACCATAACCATGCTATACTGTTTCTTCTCAGCCACGTTTCCATACATGTGTTAACAACAGATTTCTCTTCTGGAATAGTCATATCCCAAGTGATCTTTTGAAGCAGTATTTACTGCTGATACATTGCAGTAACATGCCAAGGGGACTCATTATCCAAACACTTCTCCCTCTTGAGGGCACAAGACATTTACCTTCTTTCAACACCATTTCACAAGACACATACAAAAAGCCACAGTGTGTAACAGACAAAGTAAAATTGAAAGGAAAGGAGGAACGATTTTCTCACTGACAAAAGAGAAAATTAAAAGTTTTTGTTTGAAATATAAAGCTTAGCGTCCTCTCTGTTAAAGCAACCTGAACCAGAGTTTACCTAAGGTGCCAGAGTACCCTGATGCTATGTAATCAGTAGAGGATACCACGGACGTATCTGCAGTGCGGTAATTCTTCAAAGTCATAGCTAAAAGACACAGACTTCACTTCACAAGCAATAGAAAATCAGTTACTCAATATATCAACACAGTAACTTGCACAGCTGTACAGAACAACTGAGTAACTCTGAGAAGACAAGTATCTCAACCCTAGACATGGCTAGCTGTCTTCAAGACTCTCTTAGGCAAAGAACCATTTATTTTTTCCACAGTATTTACTACTGTGCTGCTGCTTCTACTTTATCTAAGGAAGGTGATGAACTAGAAGAGAACTGGCTGAAGTACCAGACAAGAATGTTGGAGCTTATATATTTTTAATGGACTTCCATCAACTAAATTTGCAAGTGTAGATGATATTTTGCTGCCAAATACTGCCCTAAGATAGCTTAGCTTCTTTAAAATTGATTATTTTCTAATGTCAGAGTACTAAAGTCAAGACTGGTTTTCACTTTCTGGTTGAAAGCAACGTTTACAGGTCAAGTGCACACTATTTTTCTACCTGCCAGATTCTTCATGTATAACTCTCTACGTACAAGGTCATCTTCCTCCAGGGACCAAGTAAAAGGCAAGGTTAACACAAATCACTCATTGTCTAGTCCTTGTCTTCCTTGATTATTAACCCCAGTGGCCACTTAAAACATATCCACCATTCTCAGAATTACATGAATAAAGGTACTACAGGCTATGGGGCAACACCTCTTGAAGCATAAGCGATGCTTTTTGCTTAAAGTAGCTGCTTACAGAGATACCACACTGGACTGCAGTAAAGGCTCACCCAAACATTTCTGTTTGTTCTTCAGCAATGTAAACTATTCCATGAAGTTCAAATGGAATATCAGTCTGAGCACACCCAGAAGCCGATTACAGGTAACAAACACCAGTGCAGAATACTGCCAGTCAAAAACGGTAAAAAAGATGTACTGCTAGTACAATGTAACAGTGACTCCAAGGGAACAGCCAGGCAGGCTTACAGGCTCTTCATGGAAGACCCAACACAAGTTCTCACTACTACCTTATCAAAGTGCATGTGCCTGTCACATTTTTACTACTGACACCCTGGAAATTAACCCTTTCAGAGCTTGCATAGAGTCATAGAATCGCTTAGGTTGGAAAAAACCTACAGCATATAATACGCACTATCAGACCTACTCTTCAAACAGGATAGCATAACTTCATATATTTATTTCTACTTTCAGCTTCTATCAATTTTGCAACAAACTCCGCAACTGAAACACTGCTCTGCTGGTCCATGTGCAGTCAAAGCAAAGGCAGAGTCAAGTACGAACAGTCAATACACAGCTCAAAGCAGCAAATGGTAACTACATATTATAAATGGCACAAGATATGGTAACAAATTGTCATTTAGAAGAACTGAAAGAATGTGAGCCTCTTAGGCTACAGCAGGGCTCCCAGGAAGCAAGACACAGAATTAAGGGAAACCTAAGTCCTGTCACCCATGCTGATTTACAAACGGAATTTACAAAGTCCACCAAAAGAAATACAGAAATCTAGGAATATGGGGTGGGGTTTTGTTCATACGAAAAATAACCAGTGGCCAAACAGCAACCACAGCTCCTAAAGTCCTGAGTGCCTCAGGGATAGTAAAAGCTAGGCCTTGGATGGGGAAGGAGGACATGTGTCTATGTAGCTCACTGTACAGATGTGGAAAGTATTTTTTACATTCCAACACGTTCACCATTTCCATAACTTTCTATTTCACACCACTTCAGAATATGGTAATGTAGGAAAACAATGTAGAAGTTTCTTTAGTTTTACAGAACTTTGTCATGCAGTACCTTTTCCTCCTCTAGTTTTTGTTTTCTCTTTTCTTCTACTGCTGCTCTTCGTTGTTCCTCTTTCTGCTTCTGTTCTTTTAGCTTTCTCTGCCTTTCTTCTAACTGTTTTTCATACTGGAGTTTTGCTTTTCTCTCTTTTTCAAGGATTTGTGTTTCTTTGGCAGCTGCAAATTTTGAGAAAAAAATTAAAATCAAACAACTATGCATTGATATTACAATACAACTTACATGCAGGAGACTACCAAGCAGAATTATCACCACTTAAACCCAAAACATACAGCAAGATTAGCTTGCTGATGGATGACATTGCACATGACAACAGAGGTGTCTTTAATTCTGTCCCCAGGTTGGGCAGGAATTATAACCTTTCCTGCCATTAGACTTTACTGCCTAGACAGGGATGTCAGGATATGTATACACCCTATGTTAAGCATATACTTCTCTTGTCACCATAGTAGTGAAGTCTTTAAAAGTAAGTTGAGAATCAAAGGGCAGAATTTTCTATGTTGCAATTTACTTTTTTCTTTTTGTTTTTTTTAGAACAAGATATAATGAAAAGACTTAAAGCACCGAGTGACAAGATGGGAAAACCCCCCAGTTTCTGCATCCCAGTTCAAAATAGTTATACCGCTATTCTCCAGGGCCGCCACCTAGGAACAGCTGTGCACAGTTTAACAGGAAGCTTCAAGTCCCATGACTTGAAATGAACCGAGAGACCAGATAATTATACCAACAATGCACAGGCAGTATCTACATAAGGCTCCCAAAATACTTCTGAATTTTTATGTGCCCTACACCTATCCTCTCTCCATGTCAGCATAACACAATCCTCCTCGTTCCTGTGTGGTTTTGCTTTTATGTTAAGAAACAAACATACAGGCCAGAGCAACACCACTGCTCACAAGCTGGGAGACCAAGAGCCAGGACTGCAGGGCACACTGTGACCCCTTCATCTCTCACTGCACGCTTACGCACTGACTCACATCGTGAACAGCACAAAACTGGGTAAGAGTTTTACGCTCTTCTCTAGGTCTCAGATTATTTGCCAAGATAAAGCGTATCCTGCTGACACTTCAATCCAGGAGTGATTTCAGTGTGCAAGGAAACAAGGGAAGCAGTGTTCAAGGCAGTCAAGCCATTCAACCAGCTAAATCTTTTTTGGTTTTCTCTGAATCAATGCTCCCCAAACACTGATTCACACCACGTCCTCAGGAAGTAGCTTTAAGCTAAAAGTTATCATTTCAGAAGTGTTTTTGTTAAGGCTTTCTATAAGAAATCGGCTGCATTTCCTTGGTGGTCACTAAGAAATGGAAGGTCAGAAGTGACATACAGCTTCAAGAATATCTCTGGAATATTTTCGTCTCAAATCTAATACTTCTCCATTTGGGTTCACAGACTGTCACTGAGGGAAGACCAAGAGCAGATCTTGTCGTTCGTCCCCAGAAAGCTGAAAAAAGGTCACTGAACAAGAAGTAACAGAGTAAGTAATTCCTTTATCGCAAATATTTTATGAAATTATATCTTAAATGAAACATGAAAATACCATGCTGCTTTTCCCGCTCTTCTCTACGCTCCCTGGCCAGTCTTTGTCTTTCTTCTGTTCTTAGAGTGGAACCATCTATCACTATCAAAAGAAAAATTGAAGACACATATTTCTGAGTTATTTTGAACATTCAAATTTAAATAAAGAAGTCATATGCCTTTACTATTGAAAGGATTATGGAATTTCCTGATACACTTGCCACCAAAGCACTGCACACTTTACATAGAGATTAAAGATGTCATCTCAAAAAATTCATAGGAAGCTGAATACCCTCCTCTTCTCCCTTTTTGTTCTCTCACAACCACCAATCCTCTATTTCAACAGGTGCAGCAAAAAGCAGATTTTTGATTTTTTAATCACAAGATTAAAAGGCCCAATGTGTACAGTCAAATGAAAGCTTGAGCAGAAATCAGCCATGTGATATAAAACAATCTTATTCCAAATTCAGCTCTGATCTCCATTCCTGTACATATAAATTCTGACGATCAAGAATTACAGGCATCTATGAAAACTCAATCTGAAAACAGAGAGTTCATCCATCATGATGAATTCAAAGTGCTGTAGGCGAGTTAGTTTGTAGGCTAAGAAGAGCCAAGAATGCTTAAATCTGCAGGTATAAAAACTTGAATTTCAGCCAGAAGTGAACTCGTAACCTGACCACAGCACAAAAAACTCATTTATGTTTGTGCTATGCCCCACTGAACAGATAAGTAAATTCATGAAATGAACTCCTAGCAAGTCAAGAGCAAAAGCCTGTCACCAAAACCAGGCCTTCAGTTAATCTATGAACCATTTACCAGGTGCTTCATGCTCTGATGTCTCCTGAAGAGTGAGCACCAAACATATTTTTAAAAGATGTTTTACTCATTCCATACTGATACTCCCTTGTGAACTCAGTACTTCATTAAGAACAATGACCTATGATTATACCTGGTTTAGTTGCTGTCTTTATATTTACTGAGGTCTGAACTGGAACAGGGCTAACACCACTTTGGCTTCTTCTTTCTTCTGCTATGGCTTGGGCTACAGCAACTGCAAGAAAGAATTATTCCATATTAAGTAAAGCTCTACAACAAAAACATATGAAATAAATATCTAAAATAAATACATAAAATTCTATTTGAGGTTGTAGATCCTTTTATTAAATAACTAACTTGGGACTGTTCAACTTGTAAGAAGAAAAAACTTGTTGAATGAGACTTCAGACTTGGCACAGCTTTTCTCTGTAAAAACAACACTTACAAAACCTTGTATTTTAAAGTGTGTAGCAAAGGACTACAGAATTTTAAAAAAACCAAACTTATTCAGTAAGCTTTCTAAGAAGAAAACCAACACTTAGCAAAGTTATGATTCTGACTTACACTTCATAAAAATTTCTTGCTACCACACGTATATCTGTGGGCTGAACGCATATGCGTAATAGTCAATCAGCACCAATGAGATCCAAGTAGGGAAAGGTTTATGAAGACCTTTCATTATTTCATAACGTGAAACGAATGGGATTAGCTGCCTAAAGTAAACCACTGAGGAATGCTTATAATTTATTTCTAAAATTGGATCTCAAAAATAAGTATAGATTAGACTCCAAGACCACTAATTTGAGTATTTGTGCAGAGATCCATTCACCTTATTTGAGTTTCATTGAGTATGGTGAACAGGGCTATGACTCAGTTAATCAGATAGAAATGAAATGCTAGCAATATTAATTTTGCTAAATAACAAAACTCATTAAGAAGGGAGACTAATCTACTGTATCACTTTCCACAGATTCAGATTTTCTTTACTTTGGTATCAACTTTCACTTTAACTAATCACCTTTGAAGGTGAAGCGTTACAGGGAAAGCAGGCAGGGCAACCCGTAAGACAGCATTACCCCATTTTCCTGCACAGCTCTGAACAAGGGTGTCCTTACAGCAGAGACACCTTCTTGTTACCTCAGCTGACAGATACAGGGAGATCAACTTGGGTCACACAGAAAAGCCCAACTTTGGGAGAAGGAAGAGAATACACCATGCAATCAACCAAACTTGCAAAAGCAGAAGGCAGTCCACAAAAGTAACACGTAAGGTGCCGCAACACGAAGAATGAAAAGTAGAATTTGGTGCTACAGCTAAAAAGAGAAGACGACAGCTCTGCCCATGATCTCAGGCTTCTCTTTAATAGAGTAGTGCAGAACGCAAAGGAGGAAGGAAGAGTCTCACTGTTCCCCATGCATTGCCATGACAACTCATTGTGCCATGGTAATAACACTCCCTAAGGCTGTGCCCAAGACCAATCACATCAAAGTGTTTAATCCCACGTGATGTCAGTGATAAATGCTGATTACAATACTTATTAAGCCACTTTTTTGTCACCCACAGCCATTGCTATGTCTTGAATTAATTTTTCATCATGGCACCAAACAAAAGTCTTCCTCAGCTCCATCCCATACATTTCTGAGGTTCTTTTCAAACAAGTCAGAGATCAGATATACTGTGACACAGTAAGATTACCAATGGAAAAAGGGAACAGCTAAAAAAGGGCTCACTGTAACTTCACTATGTAAACCAAAAGTCAGGCAAAAAGCTGATTTTGTACACTGCTGCACATCGTGTGGATGGGAATCTAGCCCAAAAATTCACAAACTGGAGAACAACAAAATTATATATTCTTAACACAGATATGAAAACAGCCTCAGGAAAACCAGCCTAGTACAGGTTTTTCTGAGCCCAAAAATCTACAGAGCCAGGGCATTTATATTCAATGGCCTCTGTAGATCACAAAGGCTGAAAGACCACTGGCTTCTTCAAACACCATTTAAAATTAAGACAAATAGAGAAACCCAGCTGCATCTTTTCTTCAGTGTCTGTCAGCGAGGCAGGAGAGCCAGGAGATGCACAGGCAGTCTGAGCTGACTCGACACAGCCCAGTCGGGAAATAAGCCCAAAAGAATAAATTCACCTTACGCCTACACCAGGTTTAGTTAAGACCAACACCAGAATTTTGGCTCAATGATCAGAAACTTTAAGCATCCATATTTCTGTAACACAGTTACGGTAAGAAGCAAGCTGTGATTTAAACAGGTACAATATTTATCTTATTTTATTTGCAGAAGTATTTTACTATGAGAAATCTTGCTGAACAAGCCAGTCATAATGGATGCAGAGGATTATGTATTTATTAACTTAAAAATGAACGAACACTTGAATAATGTTCATGATTAGAAGGCACTCATTTAAAAAAATTAGTCGTATCTGCAAAGCAATTAGTTCATCTTCATTAATTAATTAAGGTTGCAAAAAATTACTTGAGGTTCTATAGAACAGGAAAGTGGGTTACGAAAACAGTACAGCTTGCAAAGGACACAGAGGTGAAAAAAAGTCTAGAAATACTTAGCCAAAGGATTTTGTAAGTCAGGGGTTTTTTTGTACATCAGTGAAAATATTTACGTTCAATGCTTCATTATTTGCATAGAAACAATGTGCTTACAAATTTGAAAGTAGTAGATTTGAAGGCACTAGGTGTGCACCTCTGTGTTACACAGAAGCAATCCATTTAACTAACAAAGTTAGAATTAGAAGTGAACTGGGGATCTGAACAAAAGTTTATCAAAAGGTGAACAGCCATCGCATTAGATGCATCCCTGAGATGTGTGAGCTCAGCTTCACCAAGTCTTGAGTTAACAGACAGGTTTTACAGCCCTTGTCAACTTTATGGTACATTTACAATAAGAAAATCTGGTTTTCAAAGTTCTACTACACTAAGAGAAAACGTTGTTGCATACTGTTGTATTCTGCAACCTTTTAAAAGTACAGATTTTATTTTGCTTTAATATGAAAAATTAAATCTTTATTTTTAATAAACTTAAATCTTCTTAGGCACAGATGCCTCTAATTTCTAGCCTAGTTTTCCACAATGACTGTAGCAGTATGCTATGGAGCAAAGCTTCACTGAAAAGAATTTTCCACAAAATCTAACTATCTCCATAAAATAAGCCTACTGCTTCTGTAATTAATCAGCATACCACAGAACAGGAAACCAGTAAATAACCATTTCACTACAACTATGTCCTGTGCTGTATTACTGGGGTAATGTACACAGCCTTTATGGACATATTCAGCAAGTCTCCCAGAAAACAAAAATTCTCTTAGAAGCAAATTAAATCTTATTTCTATTCCAAGCTTCCCTTCCCACAGGAGTCAGTAAAGGCTTTCACAACTACGATTTGTGATGAGCATAATGTGTGTGCTTATTTTACAGTAGTCTACTAAAATTAATAGAAAGCTAAAATTAAAAGCACAAGCCACACTTGTAGTCAGTAAAAATATTTGTATTCATGCATAGTAAAATCGGGCTATTTGGAACACAAAAAGGTTAGGTAACTTGGGAAGCAGTTTTTCTTCTGCACCCTCCTCACCATTTAGCACTGGCCAAGTGTACCATGGATAAACCAAACCAACGGCAGCACCAGGAACAGCTGCTACAGTGTCCAACATGCCAGACAAAGCCGACTCCCAATTTCACCTTCCAGCTCACTGTAATGTTAACTGTGTGGGTACGGCAGCACCTCCCTTGCACCAAGCATGACAAGTACTTCCCTTTGCCGATCAGGTTTCCAACATGCCCTGAAGAGACCAGTGCTAGAAATAAAACTTTATTTCTATTTCAATCCTTGTGCTGGGTTAATACCCTTGGCTCTTGCCAACACTGTCAAAAGACCCACACAATTGCTGTTCTTAGTAAACCTCATTAGGGACTGAACCGGCTCCATCCCTTTACCTAGCGAGGCTTAGGGCTTCCATCCCATCGCCTCTGCTGCTATCTTTGGCCCAGCTGCATGCTGCCCCACTTGCTCTTCTCATGCTGAACCAGAAAAGAGCAGAAAGAGGCGACTTTCACAGAAATCCTTCTGGTTCTTGTGATTTAATGACTCATCATGCAAGGCAAAGAAAGAATCCCAGAATAAGCCTTTGAAATGAAAGTCAGGAGGTCTCATGAATGTTAAGCATTGTTATGAACTGTTTTCATGTAAGTTTAAAGCAGGTAACAAGAGGCCCATAAGCAATGCATAGAACAAAA